CCCCCCCATTGGCACCACCGACCCCCACAGTGACCAGTGACCCCCCCGGTGTTACTGGCACCCCCCCAGTGACCCCCCAGCACCCCCAGTGCTCCCCCCCCAATAAATTCACTGCAGAGCGGGGGGTGGGCACAGCCTGTATTGCCAAACCCCGGGTGACACACGTGGAGCAGCGGGGCAGGACCCCCCCGACCCCCTCCCCAGCATCCCCCCCCCGAAATTGGGGGGCTCCACAGCGAGTCCGGGGGTGCCCCCTGCTCGCACCCAGTGTCCGAAGGCACCAACCCCCCCCCCCCAGGGGACAGCCCCCCCGGGGCCCCCCCCCCCCCCCCCCCCCCCCGCCGCCGGGGCCAGGCCCCCCCCCCCCCCCCCGGGGTCCCCCCGCCCCCCTCCGGGGGGTCCCCCCCCCCCCCGCAGCCCCCTCAGATCTCCTCCAGGAAGTCCACAGGGAACAGCCCCACTTTGCGGCCGGTGAAGACTTTGACGTAACCGTTCACCTCCTCCCCCTTCTGCACCACGATCTGGGGGGCGAGAGGGGGGCGGGTGAGACCCCCGGGACCCCTCCCCAGAGCGGGGGGAGCCCAGGGAAGAGCCGTTCCCACCCGAGGGGCCGGGGGAGGTGGGAAGGGGGGGGGACGGGGTCACCCCGGGGGGGGGAGGGGGGGTGGTCCCACCTCACCTGATCCTTCTTGAGTGTGATCTGCCCGATCTCCCGGTTGCCCACGAAGGAACGGGTCACTTTGTGCACCCGCTCGCCCGCCCGCACCCGGATGATGAAGTTGGGGGGGAAAAACCCGACTTTCTCACCGATCTTCCCCTGCGAGGAGGCAGCGAGTGGGGAGTGCAGGAGTGGGGGGGAGATCCCGCCCAGGGGTCCCAGATCCACCCCCCCCCCCCACCGGGCGGGGGGTGGGGGGGGGGGCACGGCGGGTTGGGGGGGCTGTGCCCCCCCCCCTTGGAGCACCCCGGGCTTTCCCAGCCTTACCCGCCACCACTCCTCGTTGGAGTCATCGACCACCGTGATCTTCTCCCCCGGCCTGGAAGGGAAAGAAGGGCCCTGTGAGGGGGGTGGGCAGGGCCCCCTCCCCGCGGGAGACCCCAAGGAAAACTGCTCTTCCCGTGGGATCAGCTCCTCGAGCCCCGTGCTCAGGGACAGTGAGGGGTGAGTGCAGCCCATGGGCTTGGGGCCAGGCAGGTCCTGGACACAGCAGCTCAGCCTCGAGAAATCCACGGAACCACATCGAGCCAAACCTCAGGAGCCTTGGGAAGGAGCCCGGGACACAGCTGGCAACTCACGGGAAGTCCAGGTCGTCCTTCTCCAGGGCTTTGAAGCGATAAAGTGCCACGAAATAGTGGGACTGCAGGAACGCCCCCGGCTGCGGCTTCTTGTTCTGGGGGGGGCACAGCGGAGTTTGGGGTCCCAGAGGCTGCAAACGGCTGCAGGGATCCCAGCAGGGAGATCCCACAGCCTCTGCCCACGGTTTTGGGGTGCAGGATGAGGACGGGGGGTACCTTGTCATCTGTCGGGCTCTTCTCAGCCTTCTTGTCCCCTTCGGAGGCACCTGGGAATGGGAAGGGGGGGGGGTCACACCTCCCCTGGTGGTGCCTCCCGAGGGTCTCCTTGGTCTACTCAGGGACACAGCGAGAGCCCCGGGGTGAGGATTTGACCTGGAGACCCCCTTTTTGCAGGGCAGACCCCACCCTGGTGGCCCCCCAAGCACAGTCGGGGGCTCCCTCCCTGCCCCATGGGCTCGGCCCCCCCATCCTCTGCCCCTGCACTCACCGCCCTCGGCTTTGCTCCCCGCCGGCTTCGTGGCCTCCGGCTCCTCGTCCATCATCGCAGCCAAGGGCTGGAAGGCACAGAGGGAGCTCTCAGGGGGTGCAGAATGCGGGGGGGATGTGTGTCAGTGCGTTGCCAGCACAGGAATTTTGGGGAGGGCCCGACCCCCCACTCACGTTCTTCTTGTCGTCCTGCCCCTTCTTGCGCTCCTTGTTGGCCATGATGACGCCCGTCCGCAGCGTCTCGAACACGGGGTCGCTCCTGTTGTCCGCTGGGGGGGCACAGGGACGGCGTGGGGGTCATGGGTGGGACACGAGGGGATGGGGCACCCCGGGGTGGGGACTGGGGGGACGGGGCACCCACGTCCGGCACGGGGACTTACAGAGCTGGTCCTTGACGCAGAGCTGGTCGCTGTAGAGGGGGGAGCTGTAGGCCCGGCGGAACCCGGGGGGCTGCGGGGAGAGGGGGGGGGTCGGAGCATCAACCACCCCCCAGACCCCCAGACCCATCCCATCGGAGCTGGGGGGACACGGGGGGCCCAGAGGGGGGGAAGCCAGGGACCCCCTCAGGGCCGGGAGGTGATGGGGGTGGTGGCCCCGGGGTGGCCCCCGGCAGGGGGGGGACACACTCACGATCTTGCCGAAGCAGCGCTGCATCTCCACGTAGGACTGGCAGTGGTGGTGGATGTTGGTTTTGCAGTTCTTGCACCTCAGGCCAAATTTGTTGTTGACTGGCAGTGGGGGGGGTGGGGGGGGTGGAAAGGAGAGGGAATGTGACACTGCAGCTGTGGAACGGCCGGGACAGAGCCCTGGGCAGCCTTGGTCCCCAGGCCCTGCCCTGGCTCTGGCCGTGGCCCCCAGCCCTCATCCTGGCCGTGGCTGCAGCCCCCAGCCCGAGCTCCAGCCCTGCCTTCCAGCCCCAGCCCTGCCCGTAGCCCCCACCCTGCCCACAGCCCCCGGCCCTGGCAGGACTCACGGACGATCATCCGGGCACAAACGTCACAGAACTTGGGTTTTTTGAAGTAATGATCTTTGAACTTGTGGGGTTTGTCATTGACGAGTTTCTCGGGCTCAGGAGGGGGCTCGGGCTCCTCCTCCTCTTCCTCCTCTTCCTCGTCCTCATAGATGTAGTAGATGGGGCCCCCCGAGGGGCTGACCAGCTCCCCGTTGGGCTGCGGCTCCGGCACCGGCTCCTCCTTCGGCTTTCGCTGGAAAAGTTGCTTCAGCTTCTGCAGCTGCTGGGGCAGGAGAGGGTGGATGGTGCATGGCAGGGGGGCAGCGCCCCCGTGCCCAGCCCCTTGCCCCACTGCCCTGACCCAGAGACCCCTTCCCCAAGCGGGAGGAACCCCCAGGAATGCTGTGAGGATGGGGATCCCCCTCCTGCCCCATGAGGTTCCTACAAAAGGGGGAACTGTGGCTCCTGAGCACCCTGGGGACGTGGGCATCCCAGAGGAGAGCCGAGCTGGGAAATGCCCACCCAGCACCAGGTGGATCAGGGTCCCAGCAGGCACCCCCAGCCCTCCCAAGCCCCCTGGGGCAGCGGCAGGATGATGTCAGGAGAGGTGGCTTCCCCCTGTGGCACCCGGTGGGCACCCACTTACCCGGCTCTTGGGTTTCCCACCTGAAGCCGGTGAAGCCGCTGGCTCTGGCACTTCCTTCTCGGTCATGCTGTGAGGGGAAGGGAGAGACAAGGTGTTGGCTGGGGCTGCTCCTGCTGCAGGTGCCCAGAGTGGGCAGCCTTGTTGGGTGGGCACTGCCTGCCCTTCCCCTGCAGTGCCCAGTCCCACTGCCCATCCCACACCCCCTGTCCTGGCAAGGTTCTGCCATGGGGAGCCCCGGGGTCACTCCTACTGCCCATCCCACAGCCTCTGTCCTGGCAAGGACTGGTTCTGCCATGGGGAGCCCTGGGGTCACTCCCACCGCCCATCCTGCAGCCCCTGCCCCAGCGAGGGCTGGTTCTGGCCCGAAGAGCCCCAGGGCCAGGCTGGAGGAGGCCAATGCCCAGCCCAGCGCCTGGCACGGCCGCTGGCTCGGGGCCGTGGTGCCAAGTGCTGTGAGCCAGCCCCTGGGCTACCTGCACGTGCCCACCTCTGCCTGGGCATCTCCATCTCGCCATCGAACTGCAAACGGAGCCGCTCCCGGCCCCTCAGGACGGGCACACGGGTGACACCGACGGGCATCACCCGGCCTTGGGCTGCCACCGGGGTAGGACCTGCTCTTGCATCCCCCAAACCATCCCGATGCCACCTTCGATGACCCTCCACGCAGTCCTTCCACCCAGACTTCGATATTTTTGGTGACGCCCACCCCGAGCCCCCCCCAGGCCTCGTGAAAATCGAGGAGAAACCATCGGGAAGCAGCGCTGGGGCTGGGGGGCGTTGGGGTGAGGGGCACCGTAGGGACGGGGCACCCCAAGGTCCTGCAGCAGCACGGGGGGGCCCACGGGGGTCAGGGACACGGCGAGGGGGGGGCCAGGCAGGGGAACCCACTTACCCTGTGCTTGGAGGCCTCGCCCTGCGCTGCTGAACCCCCCGAGGGGCGGCCGGTGCCGGTGCAGAGCCCCCAGGCCCCCGTGGCGGGCGCGGGGAGGGCGGTCCCGTGGCCAGCGGAGTGACAGGGCAGGGGGGGACGACAGCTGAGCTGCCGGGGGCTGACGCCGGGAAATTGGAGCCCCGGCGTGCGCCGGGCGGGAGCGGGCGGAGGAGCCACCGGCTATTTGCGTTGGTGGGTTGCTGGGCGTGCCAGGGGCCCCCCCAGCCTGGCATGGGACAGCGGAGGGACCGGGCACAGCGAGGGCTCCGGGAGCTGGGCACTCCAGGGGCTCTGTGCTCCCACCTCGGGGCCTCCTTCGCTCCCGTGTGTGAGAACCGGAGCCTGGGTGGGGGGCACGGGGCAGAGTGGCAGCAGAGGGGTCTCTGGGGGGGCAGAGTGGCAGCAGAGGGGTCTCTGGGGGGGCAGCTTGTGGCTGCCTTGGCACCCTCTGGCACCAAATCCTGCTGGGATGGAGGGATTGGGATCCCAGTGCTGCCAGGCTGCCTGTGCTGGGGGACAGGGCCCTGGATGGGCACCCTGGGGTCCCCACAGTCCCTGCCCAGTGTGGGGGGCAGCGAGGTGGGAGCTGGTACGAGTCTGCAGTTGGAGCCCCCCCTTTCCCGGCTTCTCTTACCTGCACTGGGAGCATCCCACTGCTGCTGGAGGCTCCGGCTGTGCCACCGAGGCTGTGCCAGCCCAAATCCTGTCCCCACCTGCACCTGTGCCAGCTCCAGGTGCTGCTCCTCAGTCACCAGGAGTATGCTGCTTCCCGGCAGGGGACACTCCATGCCCTCATTCCTGCCCTGGCACAGCTGGATGGGGTTGGCAGCTGAGAGAAGAGGCTGTGAACGTCTGTCAGGGGTCCAGGCCCAGGCCAAGCACTCCAATCCCAGCCTGGGCTCCCCACATGCCAACACAGGGGCAGGACTGGGCAGGACACATCCCCTTCCAGTGCCCCTTCCACTGTCCCCTCACCTCACCGAGGTAGCCCAGAGCCCCCAGCCCTTGGCCCTGGCAGAGAACTGGGAAAGTTACGTTCGAGTGATGGACAATTTTCCTTTTTTTTTTTTTTTTTAAAAAACACCCCCCCCCCCAAATAAAATAAAACCAAAAATACCCCCTCCCCCCCCCCAAAAAATAATAATCCGATTAAATAAAATGTGCAGTGAACATACCAATCAACACCTGTATGTGCGGTCCAACACAGTGCTTAAACAAAACCAGAGACACAGGGGAGGGGGGCGGGCACGGGCGGCACTCCAAAAATAATAATAATTAAAAAAAAAAAAAAAAGAAAATCAACTTCTCGTCTCTTAATTATGTTCATATAAATATATCAAGGGAGGAGGGCGAGAGGAAGGGAGGGCGGGAGGAGAAGAGGCCCAGGGGGGTGCCCGGTGCCCGCGGGTGCCCTACTGGGAGCTGGCCCGCTCCAGCACCCGCAGGTCGTAGTTCTTTTTGGCCACGCGCAGCTTGAAGCGGCTGAGGGAGTTGTTGAGGCGGAGGGAGGCGTTCTGGGCAGCCAGCGGGCTGGGGAACACGGCCACGATGGTGTATAAGGCAGCGAGGTCACCGTGCCTGCCGTTCTCCGGAGTCCCGCTGTTGTCCCCGCCGCCGCCACCGCCGTCCCCGCGGCGCCCCTGAGTCTCTTTGAGCCACTGGATTTTGGCACCGGCCATGGCGAGCTGGGTGAAGAGCTTGTCGGCCTCCGTCCGTGTGATGCCCTCGGGCAGGTCCGTCACCTCCAGCACCCGGCCCAGCACTGCGGGGAGAGAGGACGAGTCACCGGCCGGGTCCCGGGAGCCCCCCGGGCTGGAGCACCCACCTCTCCCTGGCCCGGGAGTGCTGCGCTGTGCCAAGCTGCCCCCAGGTATTTCTCTAAGTCAGTCACTTCCCCCAGACTGCCCCTGCCTGCTCCCTGCAGTGCCCCAGCCCAATCCCTTCCCGTGCACACAACCTGCTCTGGGAGGAGCTGGGTACTGCCCGGTGTCCCAGGGCTCCAGCGACACCGAGTCCTTCTGGTGTCCTTTGGATGGCCTTGGCTGGGCAGTTCGGGCTCTCCCAGGGGCTCTGCCCTGTTTTCCTACCCCAAACCTCAGGGACCGGGACTGGGAGCCAACCCTGACCCTGGGAGGGAGAATGTCTGCATCCACAGAGGGCAGCAACACGTGGCTGTGCCCTGCCCAGAGGTCCCCAAATCCCTCAGCAGCTCCTGCCCCAGTCCCTGCCTGGTGGTCCCCAAGCCCCTGTGCAGCTCCTGGCTCCAGCCCTGGCTCCAGGCTTAGCAGAGCTGCTGAAGGGATTCTTTGCTAATATTAACGTGGCACAGCCAGGCCATGCCAGGGGCAGGGAGGGCGGCTCTTAAAGGGCCCCCTGTGACCAGCTGCTGGTGGTGACACGGAGGTGACATGGGGGACAGGCCCGAGGCCTCCAGAGGGTCAGTGAGGGCTGCTCCGTTCAGGCTGCGGGTCCCTCCCTCCCCAAGGACCTTGTGGAGACCCCCCGGGTGAGGGACAGGCAGGAACCACTCCCCAAAAACAGCACAGGGTCCTGTGGGATGCTGGTGTGGGCACCTGGAGCCTCCAAACCCTGCGTGTGTGGACAAGAGAGGGCAAAGGGAACTGCCTGAGGGGGTCACTTGCCTACGTCGCTTGTCCCCAGGTCGGTGGACGCCGACTTGAGGGCCTGTCTCTTGCTCCGGTTCCCGTGTTTCATCCCAGTCTGCCCCTTCAAGAGTGAAAAGGGCACCGTGTCACCTCAGGGGACACCGAGGCCTCCCGGGGAGGGGACTGTGCACTCCCGTGGCCCGGCTGTACCTGGTGTGCCGTGTAGCCGGGCTGGTTGTGGAGCAGTGGCGGGGGGCAGAGGGACAGGTTGTACTGCAGCGGTTGGCCCAGCAGCGAGTACCGCCCGTCACCTGCGGGAGGAGACACGTCCGTGGGGACCCGGGAAACGCCGGGGAATTCCCAGGGAATTCCCAGCCCTGGGCTGTCCCCACACACCTTCCCCTTACCTTGTGCCGGGCCCATGGGCCGGGGGAACTGTGTGAGGACAGGGAGGGGGCTCAGCCCCGTGCACACACTGTTGAGGTTGGTGACGGGCGACGGCGTCGGGGACTGGGTGGGGGACGTGATGGGGCTGTTCAGCTGAGTGCTGGCCTGGGGGAGGGACAGTGTCAGAGACCCCCGGTGCTTGTGAGCGCTCCCACAGCCGCGGGGTGACCCCCCACCCATTGCCCAGCCCACCCCGGCAGCCCCAGAGGCTGAGCTGCCTCCTCCCAGTCCCTCCCAGTCTGCCCAGTACCTGAGCACTGGTGTCGGGGTTGTAGAGGTCTCCTGGCTTCTGCCCCCGCTGCTCCAGGCTGTAGTACTTACAGTGGCTCCACTGCACCACGGGGGGGTTCTGGGGGGCCTGGGGGCCGTTGGGGACATTCAGCTGCATCACCACGACACCGGGGCCTGACGGGGACACCCCTGGGGACAGACACAGGCACGTCTGGCCCGGGCTCTGCTGCTGTGGGACTTGGGGCACCTGCCTGTCCCTGCCACTGCACACCCTTCCCTATGATCCCACTCTGGACTCTTCTCCTCTCTGGAAAAGCCCCCCCAGGATCTGCTGGGGATCCCTCTCCTATATGCCATCATACAATGGGGAGTGATGATGTTTAATCCAGGAGAAATGGGAGCAGGGGGGACAAGCTGATGGGTGGCAGCTCAGTGGCTGCTCTGAGGGTCACTGCAGGACTCTGAGCACAGAGCTGGGCACAGAGCTCCAGCATCCCAGCCCAGATCCTGCAGCTCAGCAGGCCCAGAGCTCCACACTCCCAGCCCAGCTCCTGCACCGGCTCACAAGGCCCCACCTTGCTCCCAGTGGCTGGGACAGGGAGCAGGAATCCTGAGGCTCCTCATCCACAATTCTCCCCGCTCTCACCAACCCACAGCCCACCCAGCTCCCTCTGCCACTCCCACCCCGCTGCCCTCCAGGGCAAGGAGATGCCAGGCACAGGCCAGTGCCACCCTGGTGCTGCATCCCAATCATTCTCAGTGGGATTCCCAGCCTCAGGAACCCCCCTGCACAGACACTCCCAGACTTGGCTGCGAAGCGGCAGCTCCACGATCCAAAGGCTGATCCCACC